TATAGCTCATTTTGGTCACCAGACACGCCCAACCGACCATTGAAATAAAATTTTTTTCAGCAAGGCCGTAGACGGAAACGTTAGTAAATTGTTTCTCCAGTTGTATACATGCAAACCGGCCATCGAGTGGTTTTCATGGGCGGCTCGGGAGACTCAATCGGAAGTAAGAATGACAATGTTTGTAGACTACATAACCTAAACAGTTGGCGCGGACATTAGCCGGACTACCATGCATCACTACCTAAGCCAGCTCTCTTTAATAACACCGCAGGCATAGTCCAGCATTGAAAACCACGCACGAGGACTACCCAGACATGCCTGGTCTGCAAAGGCCTGACTAACAAGTATGCAAATACCTTGAAACGACTCAGCAACAATCGAGACCGCCTCACGTGGGGTGATCTTTCATGGCCAGGGGTATAGCTCGGTAACATTTCGGTTTCAACAGCGTTAATGAATTACTCGACTGGTAAGCCGACCTCTTTTACCCGGAAAACCACAATCCCTGGATCATCGTCATCATCGTAACCTGACGTTCGCAGGACAAAACATTCAGTGCAGCTGGCGTTCGTACCCTCGTACGAACTTAAAACAGTCAGTAACTCTGGAAAACTAGTTACTGACACCAGCGCGGGTGTTAATCAGTTGTAGGGTATTGTTGCGGTGTAGAATGAACGCAGCAACGGGACAATAGCAGGCCATAGTCATCGCGGCGATTCCTGCCTGTCTAAGAGTAATGGAAGCCAAGGGTGCCCGCAAGTCAGTGCTGGAACTTGACTGAATCATTAGCGTGAGATTTACCGCCTCAAGTAAGTCGGGAGTTTTGCGGTCAACATTCAAGATTTGTGCGCATCTAGCCACCGTGAGAGAATCATAGAATTCCTTCAGTTGCGTTTCGACAATGACAGGGGAGACTGGAATGGCCCCTTCTGGTTTACTAGCCATCATCAGCCAGTCATATCTAGCACAAAGTGGCTTACCACCCGAGGCTCGAACTGGTGACCTTTTGATCAGAAGTCTAACCACCGAACCACGAGCTAACTGTCTTGCCGGTTTAAGTTGAAAGGCATTAACACTCGTTGATGAAAGTTCACCGATAGCTAACGGAAGTCACTCGTCCCGTCATCTATCGGTGAGCGTTCAACAACGGCCAATCCAAGTACATCTGGTTTGATGATTAATTTGTATACAGCTGCGCAGATGACGCATTCTAGTCTACCTACTAAGGAGCATACAAGCGGCTCAGAACAGTCCTTAAGACGGGGGTTGCAGTAGCGACTGGCAAGCGTGACCGCGATCTGAAGGCAGCAGCAGTGCGAATGGGCAGCTACGAGAACCGCTGTTGTATAGCTATGTAGTCGACTTTACAATAGAGCCTTCGAAGTACAGCTCTGAGGTCTTCTTGGTAAAAACAAAGCAGTGCAGCAAG